TGTTTTCAAGAGAATATCTTCATGATCTGAGGGTAGGCAAAGGTTTTTTTAATTGGACACAAAAAGAACTGACATTATTTGGACTAGTTGATAAATTGGACTTAATTTAAAATAAAAGCTTCTGTTCATCAGAAGATACCATTAGGAGAATGAAAAGGCAAAAGCCCCAGAGTAGGAGTAGATAATTACAGTACACAGACCAAACAGAGGACTCACATCTAAAATATATAAGGAATTCCTATAAATCAATAAGAAAAAGGTAACTCATTTTTTTTAATGGGCAAAAAATCAAACAGGCATTTCATAAAAGAAGATATCCAATTGGGAATAAGCATATGAAAGGGTTCTGCACACCATTGGGGAAATGCAAATTTAAACCAAAATGAGATACCACTAAATACCCACTAGATTGGCTTAAAATTTTTGAACCGACCTTGCAAAGCAGTGGCAAAGATGTGGAACAACTATAACTCTCATGCTTTACCCACAGGAGTAGAAATTGGTGCAAGCACTTTGGACCAACAGTTCTACTCCTAGGTATATACTCCACAGAAATGAGTCTATATGTCCACTAAATGACACATAGAAGAATTTGTGTAGCAGCTTTATTCATAATAGCCTAAAATTGGAACTAATCTAAATATCAACAGTAGAATGGATAAATAAATTATATTTATAGTGTTCATACAAAGGAACACTATATGTCAGTCAAAAAGAGAATTACTGCAACAACATAGATAAATTTCAAAAGTAACTGTTGGCTGAAAGAAGCCAATGCAAAAGAGTGTATACCAAATGATCCATTTATGTGGAGTTCAAAAACAAGCATCATCCTATATAATAAAAGGCTAATATGCAAATAGACCAAACGGCGGAACAACCGAACCATTGGTCGCTATGATGTGCGCTTACCACCAGGGGGCATGTGTGGAACATGGCAGGTGTTGGCTGCAACAGGATGGTGGAGCAGGTGAGTGGGGGAACCAGACCAAGGCGGGGTGACGGTCGCTGTCATTGGGATGAGCCTCTGGGGGTTACTGAAAATACGATGCTCCTGTGTGCTGCAGTCCTGCCCGGCACTCGCACCTGCTGCTGGCGCTGGGCCTGCTCACACCCACAGCCGGTGCCAGACCCACCACTTGCACCCGCTGCTGGTGCCCGGCGCCAGTCCTGATCATTCGGCTCCATCAGCGGGTGTGAGCGGCAGCTGCTGGCCCTGATAGCCCGAGGGCTTCTCCACCTCCCCGTGCTCCTGAGGGGCAATCGGGGCAGCAGCCACCACTCGCACCCACTGACGGTGCCGGCCCCAATCGCTCTGCGCTGTCAGCACGTGGGAGCGGTGGCGGTGGAAGTGGGGCTGCCTGCAGACGGGACAGGGGGAGGGGTTGGGCGGGGTCACAGAGGATGGGCTGAGACCCAACCCTGTGCCAACTGCAGCCTCACAGCCCACAGTTCCTTTCAAGGTGCACGAATTTGTGCACTGGGCCCCTAGTTAATCTATAATAATAGAAATCAGGATAGTGGTGACCTCTTTGGGTGGATATTGATTGGGAGAAGTCATTGAAGGGGTGCTGTAAATGTTGTGTATCTTGACTAGGTGATAGTTACACTGGTATATATAAATGTGTATGTGTATTTTTTAATACACTGAATTCTTAAGGTTTTTGTAATTATTAGATGTATATTATACTTAAAATTTTAAATAAAAAATGTATATTAAATATTGAAACAAGTGGACTATCATCAACATAAAAAAAATTGAGGCTTCATTAAAATATTTGTTGTGTTAATGAGATTTGGTTTTAATGAGATTTTACTTGAATTTACATTTAGATATCATTCTATGGTTCACTGTTCACTTACTCATGACATGTAACAGATGTGTCATTTGGGTGTATTCCAAGATAAAGACTCTGGATTTTAAACCATAAATGATATAAACTGATACCGAAATTAGCAGTTTCCTTATTTTTTTCAAATTGTTGTCTTGGAAATCTCAATATCACATTGTTCATTTGTCTTTTAGGCTAAGACATCAAGCACACAAAGAATTTTATGCCTATAAACAGGTGAGAAATTTACTTCAGATTGACTTTGATAGTGTTTTGTACCCAAAAAATGAGAACTCAGATTTGCACTCATTTAAAACTAGGACTTGTGTTCATTTTAGCATTTTATTTGCCAGTTTACAGTAAAAATAGATCAACTTTAAGTACTCTTCTTTCTAATTATTTGAAGTTATAGAAAGTTCACATGCTACAATAATATAGTTTAACAGGGAACTTAAGCTAACATTTTGCTAAAGAGAAATGCTGTAGCTTATAATTCTTAAAGGTTATATTAAACTAGTGGCTCAGTGCATGGATTCATGCACATTGAAAGGAAATTAATTAGAAGAAATATTTTAATATCGCTATTCTCCCTTTCTCTATAATAGAACTATCAGAAATGAAAGAAAATTAGTAAAGTGTATATGAAAATAATATATAAATTAATAAATAACAACATGATATAATAACAACAAAGACATGATAGCCGCTTTCTTTTAGCTTCAGAGTGTCAACAAAAACAACCAAATTCATGATCGACAATGACAGATAGAAACACATGCGTGTGATTGGCGCTAGCGAGAGCTTTATATGTATTACATATGTGCTAGTCAACATTTATTTTTAAATTGCCAGTGCCCATCATGTGTACTGGCCAGTTGGTCAGATGGACCTACGACCGGTCACTTAGCCTTTTATATATATAGATGAGATTCCATTAAATAATTTTTTTACCTCCCTCATTAAGAACATACAACTTCCTCAGAGATGACCAGCTCTGTTCTAGTGATCTCATCTCCTCCCCTTTTGTACTTTAAATGTTAGCTAATGTCATACCACTAGAAGTCTACTTGGATCATCACTGGTAACCCTTGCCCCTTTGTACTGTCCCTTTACTGATTTGTTCTTTAAAGTAATAAACTTAGCTTTACTTGAAAGCAAAGTAAAATTTCTTTTTTTCTTACATGTGTCATCCATTAACATTTTACCACTGATACCAAACAGTGGGCCTAGTTGTTCCTTTTCTTTTGAACCAAAGCGTGAAATTATTTTGTTGTTCTTAGCTTTTTGGGGAAAAAGCTTCAGCTTTTGTGGGGCAAGCTGCAGCTTATTTTGGTCTTTAACCTTTATGACATGATGTTATAGAACCATCTCACTAGTTTAGGATTATATATCATTTTGTCCATCTTTTGTCTGTGTCTCTGAAATATGAGCTCATGGGCGAGTTTCTTAGATGTTGACATTGATGTCATAGGTAACCCCCACTCTTCCCTATAGGTCTCATGTGGGATTCATACACAGACTGGAATGTTTTAGTTTTCTAAATAAATGAATCTTTTTGTCTCAGTTCTTTCACGATCTTGACAACCTACAAGATATTTGTATGTAAAAAAAGCTAACCAGAAAGTAAAATTGTCCCTAACCGGTTTGGCTCAGTGGATAGAGCATCAACCTGTGGACTGAAGGGTTCCAGGTTTGATTCCAGTCAAGGGCATGTACCTTGGTTGCGGGCACATCCCCAGTGGGAGGTGTGCAGGAGACAGCTGATCGATGTTTCTTTCTCATCGATGTTTCTAACTCTCTATCCCTCTCCCTTCCTCTCTGTAAAAAAAAATCAATAAAATATATTTTTTTAAAAAGTAAAATTGGCCTTGCTGGTCATTTAAAAGGTGAAATTGACTGATAGAACTATTAAAGTCACAAAATGTGGTAAAAATTGTCCTTAAAAAATACTGACTTTGAAATGTAATACATTCCTGCATAGCTTAGATGGTAGCTTTTGGTTGTGATTTCTGAAAATGTGATTTGCCCTCAAAACTATTTTTGATTCAGGTATATAAGATACTCAAAATAGAGATTTTTCCCAAATTTCACTTGTCTGTTTTTTCACTTGAAGATGACATATAATTCTAATAAGCTAAGTTTATTCTCAGAACTTTTCAATTTAAGTAGTCATTTGCCCTCTTGTCATTTGGCATTCCTTTTAACTGATATCCAGTCACTGCAAAGTCAGATTAGAAACAGCACCTGGATAAGTTTTAAGCCTATTTACATAACTCTAGAGAGAAACTTTTCTGAGGATAGTGATGTATAATAATGAGCAAAACTTCTAAAATTAAGATTGATTTTACTTTTTAATCTTCAATAATTACTAATTAGTTAATCCCATCAGTCAGTGCTGTGCTTTACTGAATCATAAGGCAGTCAATTTCCTACCCTGTGTTTGTACTTAGTCTATGTGGGCATGTGTTAATGTCTTTTCCCAAAATTTAATCTATTGTCAAAGAGACTATAAAATTGCTTTCCAGAAGAATATTGCATCATTGTTCAATTTCAAAGAATGTTGATAAAATGTTCTATCTCAAACTGTAAAAGAAATTCACTTCAATACTAAATATACAAAGAAAACTGTGAGAAATTTTTTTAATTACAGACACAAATGGGCATAAAAACATACTTTTTGTCTTACAGGTTATATTAAAAGAGAAAGTAAAAGAACTGAATTTACATGAAGTAAGTTGCCTAATAAGTATTTTAATCTTTTCTTGAACTGTTTTCTAATAAAGTGGTATGCTGTGGTATGCTTAAACATCTTTATTTTCAGAAAAGTGTGAAAAAATTTTTTAATTACAGACACAAATGGGCATAAAAACATACTTTTTGTCTTACAGGTTATATTAAAAGAGAAAGTAAAAGAACTGAATTTACATGAAGTAAGTTGCCTAATAAGTATTTTAATCTTTTCTTGAACTGTTTTCTAATAAAGTGGTATGCTGTGGTATGCTTAAACATCTTTATTTTCAGAAGTTGAAAAATATTAAGTTTATTTAGCCTGGTCAGAGTAGCTCAGTTGGTTGAGCATTGCCCTGTGCACCAAAATGTTGCAGATTCCATTCCTGGACAGGGCACATACCCAGGTTGTGGGTTCCATCCCCGGTTGGGGCATTTACAGAAGGCAGCCAATCGATGTTTCTCTCTCACATTGATGTCTCTCTCTCTCTCTCCTGTCCTCTCTCTAAGCATGTCCTCAGGTGAGGATTTTTTAAAATTAGGTTTATTTTGTCCTATCCGGTTTGGCTCATTGGATAGAGCATCGGCCCTTGGACTGAAGGGTCACGGGTTCAATTCCGATCAAGGGCACGTACCTCAGTTGCAGGCTCAATCCCCAGCCCAGGTTGGAGCCCGGGGTGCATGCAGGAGGCAATCAATTTATGTCAGTCTATCTCACATCCATGTTTCTCTCTCTCTTTTTCCCTCCACCTCCCTTCCACTCTCTCTAAAAATCAGTGGAAAGCCCTAGCCAGTTTGGCTCAGTGGATAGAGTATCAGACTGCACACCAAAGGGTCCCGGGTTCGATTCTGGTCAAGGTCACACTTTGATTGCAGGCTCCTCCCGGGCCCTGGTCCTGGTCGAGGTGTATGCAAGAGGCAACCAATCGATGTGTTTCTCTCACATCGATATTTCTCTCTCTGTCTTCTCTCTCTTCCACTCTCTCTCAAAGTCAATGGAAAAATATCCTCAGGTGAGGATTAACTATCTAAATAAATAAAATTTGGTTTATTTTGATCAGCTTAATAGAATATTTGAGGATGAGGTCATAAAAATCAATTGTGTGAAGACTTTAAGAGAATAACATAACTCATATTTTTAATAGGGATGGTGCCCACGTAAGATTGCATAGCAGCAGGGATGCTGCTGTCTGTCAATGCTCTATGAATAGGAGATAGATATGTTGGTTTTTCTACTCAAGGTGAATTTGCAGTAATTTCACTCTTAAAAATGTTCCCAGTAGTTCCTTCTTACCAATGTCACAAAAATGGCAGTGATTATTTCTTGGAGGTAGGAGTTTGGGGAGATAAGGCAGAGTAGTGGAATAGGGAAGAACACATAGGGAGAGGTATATCCTTGGGATTATCTCGTGTTGAGGTTGCATGGTGTGGTCCATAGGGGTTCCCTATGTAATTATGCTTTGTAACTTAAATACAAAAGTGTGTGTGTGTGTGTGTGTGTGTGTGTGTGTGTGTGTCCTGATGTATACCTTAAGACACATAGTCTGTAAGAATTCTAATTTTATTCCTTGTGTTGCCTCTAATTACAAATGTTCAGAATTTATTTTTAATTTTAGGGCCCTCTCTCTTTCTGAGTTTTTGAGTTGGTGTTTAAAACAAGGACTTGGAAAGTTGCACATGTAATATCTGTTTTCTTAGATTAACTGTGGTGAAGCTACATTGCCCATCTCTTCTTTAAAGATAGATTGTGAAATTATTTGAATAATAATAAAAATGATTTATATTGTTGAACACTTTGAAATCCTTTGCTCTTTCTGCATATTTTTAATCAGAATTGATATGTTACAGCATTTTAGGCCTAACCTTGAATTAAACTCAAGCATCAATTACTGTTTGATTTTTTAAATTTCCCAAAAGTTAACTTTGGCACATGGCCAAAATTAACATGAAGTAATAGAGGGTGATCCCTTTTCTGTTTAGGGTCTCTTCTGACATACATTAGCAATATTGAATAACCAGGTTTGTCAGGAATAGAAGCCTTCCTTATTGGTCTGACCCATTGGTTTAGAGTCTTTATCCTAAGTGCACTGTGTGGCAGCATTGTCTATCAGAGTTAGTACCCCAGCTGTACCCACCAATTTCAATTCTGTTGGGTCTGACCAAGCTACTGATTTACCTTCCCCTGCTATTTAAAACTATGGCTTGGAAAACCTAACCTTGCTCTACAGCTTGTGTTTAGAGGCATTATGCATTTTTCACAATTCATTTGGTTCTTTCCAGCTGCATTTTTTGGTAATGAAACTATTTTTTGTCAAACTTTTGTGTGTGGGTAGCCTAATTATACAGTGATTTCAGTATGAATACTGTTATTGAATAATTACAATAGTGAAAAATCAGAGACAAGCTAAATGTCCATCAGTAGCATAATGAATAAATAAAGCATGATACACTGGAAGATCACCCACTAAGAGAGGGAGAGAGGAAAGAAAGGAAACCTGATACAGTGACTCATACAATGAGGTACTATAAAGCAGGCAAAATTAAGGAACAAGTTCTATCTAGAAGTACAGCGATCAACCTGGAAAAATCTCTAATGGGATCTTGATAAAAGCAAGTTGCAAGATGATATCATATATCATATATGTAAAATGAAATAAACACTAGGTTTTTCATGGGTTTTGTATGCAAACTGCAAAGTGTTTTACTGTTTGAAAAGGACACATAATGATCACACAGAGGAGGAGAAAAGAAGAAAAAGATTAGGGGAAATTGGTCGAATGGAAGTCAGTTTTATATGCAATGTTCTTGATTTTATTTTATTTTTTTTAATATATTTTATTGATTTTTTACAGACAGGAAGGGAGAGGGATAGAGAGTTAGAAACATCGATGAGAGAGAAACATCGATCAGCTGCCTCCTGCACACCCCCTACTGGGGATGTGCCCGCAACCCAGGTACATGCCCTTGACCGGAATCGAACCTGGGACCCTTGAGTCCGCAGGCCGACGCTCTATCCACTGAGCCAAACCGGTTAGGGCGTGCAATGTTCTTGATTTTAAAGAAGGAAAATAAGTTAACATTAAATTTTAAAAATAATTTTTAAATTATTGAATACATAAAACATGTCAGACACTGTACTAAACCATAGAGACACAAAAAAGCATAAAATACATACTAATTTATGCTCTCAAGAAGTCTCACAGAAGAGCGTGTAAATGAGAAAGTCATGGAATGTGCAGAGGGTGCTATTACCTGGTATATACACTGAGGGGTCTGGTATCACATGATCCATGATCTTTTTGGCTTTTGCTCCCATAAGGGAGCCTTCCTGGGACCTTTCAGACTCAGATTCCCAGGCACCACCCCACTTCACCCTACCTCCGACAGTGTCCTAGACAGTTAGCTCTATATCTGTGACTATTTATGTCATTTTTTGTTTATGTTTTTCCTACCAGTCTAGGAGTTAGGCAACACTTATAAGTGAAGCTAAAGGGTGATATATACATATTTGAGCATCTATACTAATAATAGAGGAACATGCAAATTGTCTGGGGCGCCGTCACAATAATGACTGAACAGCAGGCTGTGTGGGGCAACCAG